CCCCCGCCTCGCAGGGATGCGGGAATCGGCCCGTCCCAGCCCGGTCAGCGGTCGCTGGGGTCAGCCCGGGCAGCGGTGGGTCACACCGCCAGGAGGGACAGTCCCGACTCCTCCTCACCCCCGCGGAGCCGTCCCTCGCCCCGGCAGGAGCCCCGCGGCGCCTCGGCCGAGCCCACGGTCCACTCCACCGGGCGCGTAATCCAGCGGTAATTTACTGACATGATTAATCATAAAAAGATTTGTAAAGCAATATTGCAATTTCATTTCATGTTAATATAATGAGAAATGAAACCTGCTGATTGCAGCGGCTGATTGCAGTATTCCCAAAGAGAATACATCACACGCTTTATCTCGCATCTTGCTGATTAAAATAAAACTCATTACAAAGCACAAAGCAGGCTATTTTTAAGTACAACACCAGCAGGATGGTAAAACCAAACTGCTCCACCTGGCACCTCCCTGGTTTTTTGGCATTCGGTCCATTCATGACCTTTCCCTTTCTGTCTGACCGCCCAAATAACCCCACCGGGGCAGAAGAGCTGCCTCGCTGGCCGTGAACGGGGGAGCCCAGAGCTCCTGGGGAAGGACAAAACCTTCCCCGTCCTCCCCAGGCAGGAGCTCCCACCGCCCGGGTGAGACCCCCCCAGCCTGCAGGTCCCCCAGAGCCGGGGGATGCAGGGATGGTCCCTCGAGCCACCGTCCCCAACCGCTCAGGCTCGTGGCTGCAGCCCAGCCTGCGCCTCTCCTCCCCGGTCCCTTGAACATTTCCCCATGAATAATTAACTTGTTCCCAAAGCGCTTGGAAGCAGATTATGTCTGAAAGTTTCTGAGCCTTCCCCATTAAAAGGCAGGCTTTTCTAAAGCACCCCGGGGCGCTGGCTCGACTTCAGTGGGGATTTTAGCGCCGGATTCAGCACACACAGACCCTGCAAAGCCATTTTGAAAATCCATCCCCGCATACTAGGTCAGAAAAATACTCCCTCGGTTTTGCCGGCGCCCATCCCTGCTGCCTCCCGCACCAGGCCGGGGGTGCCCCGCTGCCGGCGACAGCCAGAGCCCGATGCCCCGGTACCCGGAGGGAGCGCCGGGGCGGGCGCTGTGCGGGGCAGCACCGACCCCCGGGGAGACGCAGCACACACGGCCCCGCGCGCCCGGGCAGCCCCGCACTCACTTGTAGAACGCCTGGTTTTCTATCCCACACTTCCAGAGGTGTTTGCAGGCTTCGGGCGTTGGGGCAAAATACGTAAGAACAATTTTCTTTTCCTAAAAGAGAAAGAGAAGGAGTCCACAGGGGAACAAGTGAGCGGTGCCACCGGGCGGGAGGTTGGGAACGCGGCCGGAGCAGCCGGAGGTGGAGAGCGGCGCTGGCACGGGGCATGTCCTCTTCCAGAGCTGCTCCGGACACAGGAGATGTTGGAGCATCAGTGGACACTCCGGCACGGCACCTCGCAGGAGGGACGCGCAGCCGTTTGCGCCGGTGACCTGCCACCCACCGCCTCCCGCTCACCTGCCTTTTTGCATGGCCAGAAATACATTTTTTAAAAAATCCTGCTGACGGCTTGCACGGGAGCCAATTTCAGCTGGAGGTTTTCAGGCTGATTTCATTAACCAGGGCAGACCGAGCGGGATGGCGGTAACAAACAACCACAACAATCCCCAAAGCGGCACTTGGTTGGGGGGTGGAGG